TTAATCCATTCCATCTGAAAATTACCCAAGCATTTTGCCCCAACATCAATTTCCGACCATGCTGAAGTAGAGACCTTCTATGATAACATTAGCGAAGCCCTACAAGACAAACCAACACACTATACAATATTGTTGGGATATTTCAATGCAAAAACTGGGAATAAGAAATATGAATCCGAAGAACCACTGGGTGACTATGGTTATGGCGAACGGAACGAAATAGTTTGGTAAATTACCTACAGAAACATGAACTTCTCGTAATTAGTTTCTGTATTGAGGAAAAGCCGCAACTCAAGTGGAGGTGGATAAGTCCAGACGGGAACACCAAAAACGATATAGATTTTATAATTTCGAACAGAGAAGACATTGTTCACGACGTCAGAGTCCTTAATATTGACCCCACAGAATATTGTGTGCTAATGTATGCTGTGCTTGTCATATGTAACTCCAAGATAGGATATCTTGGACCTCTATGGTAGTCTCTGTCCTGCAAGCTCTAGTAGGCCTCTGGGTGGTTTCTTCCTGCCTCTTGTAAATATTATGGCTTGTGTTTTTGCAGGATTGAACTCCATTTTCTAGTCCCTGCTCCATTTCACGACCTTGTTGAGCTGTCTCTGCAGTTTAGCTTGGATGGCAAGACCCTTCCCGACGGTAGTGAAGGCTACATCGTCAGCGTAGATGTAGCTATCTGTGTTCTTGTTGATTGGATGGTCCGCAATGTAAATATTGAACAGCAGCACTTTCTTATCCTCTATTGTATCCTGGATTTGGTACAAGATACACCTCTTCATAATTTTGCCCATCATTGGTAATAAGCTGATGGGCCCGTAGGACGTAAGCAGTTTTCTTTTTGAGCCTTTCTTCGGAACCAATACCACAATTGCATTTTTCCAGATGCTCGGAAAGTATTGGAGGTCCAAGATTGCATTTGCCACTGTGGTTAGGTCCTCAATTGCTGCTTTCGGTAGCTTTTTGAGGACCACATTAGAGATTTCGTTATGTCCAGGGACTTTTCTCCTCTTCCTCCTCTGGATGATGTCCTGGATGATCTCATTTGTGACTAGTTTGTCTTTGGTGGTCTGCCAGTTTTGGAAGTGGGCGGATACTATTTTATCCACTTCCTCTTCTTTCTTTGGGTGATAAACCAGGTTTACTCTGTATTGGAGCTCTAGATGATTTGCAAAAAGCTCCACTTTCTCTTTGGGATCCACAGTGGTAATTCCGTTTTCTTGGATTGGTGGCATTGGTCTCCTTGGTCCTTTGGTGAGGTTTCTGGTCAGTTTCCAGATCGATGGGCTGTTCTCTTCAGCCTCAATTTCGTCCATGGTAGCATCCCAGATCTGCGACCTGAGTTCTTTCATGTCTTCCTGGATAGCAGTCTGGAGGCGGTTGACTTTTTAGATACGGGTCTTGCGTACGCATGGCTCTGCGTCGTATTCGGTTTTTTTCCCTGATTTTGGCTTTTAAACAGGGAGGTATTTGGTCTATCGGGTTGGCCGGTACGACGGTTTGAATTGTTGGGGCTGCCAGGGCATTTTTAATTTTCCTGGTGAGACTTTCTGCTGCCTGGTCCAGGTCGTCCTCTGTAGTGGACTGAGGGATCCTGCTGGAGCTTTCCATTATGCTCTAGAAAGTCTGCAAGTTAGTGATCCTTTTAGTCGCAGTAATGTTATTGGTTTGGTTCGGTCCAATTTGCAAGAGTATCGGCAAATGGTCCGACGACAATTCTTGAAGTACTTCGGGGCTGGACAGTCGTCCTGCATTTTTATACAGGAATATGTCCAGGATGTCTTCTCTGCCATTTAGTGTGATGTGCGTAGGTTCTTGGGGCGCAGCTATCTCAAACAAGTTCTTGCGGGCTTCGTTTGATAGCATGTTGCCTTGGGCGTTGTTGAAATTGCATCTCCAATTTGTGTTTTTGGCATTGAAGTCCCCGCCATGTATCATTGGTCTGTCATCTGGGAAAAGCCTTTGAACATCCTCGGGACAGAACCTAGCGCTTGGACTGACGTATACGGATCCAACTCTGATCTCGGACTTTTCCATTTTGGTTTGACGATCTCATGGTGCTGGATGGACCTTTTCACTGCGACTATTGTGCCTCCGCCCCTAGTTGGCCAATCTGCTCTGTGTGTCTGATAGTTGCGAAGTGTGAACCTATCTCCAGGTTTTAACATGGTTTCCTGAATTAGGCACACATCGATGCTGTATTGTATTTGTCCAAGAAGTCTTGGAGCCCTATTTTCTTGTTCTTCACTCCGTTGGCGTTCCAAGACATGACACACAGAGACTTGGGCCTGAGCAGTCTAGACATGACAGCTCATAAGTGCAATCATTTGCGCTTGCATGGCGGCCATGAATGTCTGCATATGGTCTTGCATGGCCTGCATGGTTTGGGCCAGCTGTTCATGGCCGTTTTTGCCTCCTTGTTGACGTTGGGGGGCTTGCTAGGGCGACAGGTTATTTTGGACGGCTCTCCTGTAGCTCCTGCTGTTTTGGCCGACTGATGACTGTGATGCGGTGACAGTTGGGACTGCCCTGCGAGTTGGTGGAGTTTATTTTCTTGACTGCTGCTTTTGAATTGGTTTCCCAGGGCATCCGAAGAAGGAGGCTGGATGTGCGCCTCCACAGTTTGCGCACCTCGCAGCCTTTTCCCGGGGACCTAGACATTCCCGGGATTCATGTGCGGCCGCACACTTGACGCATTTTGCGGCGGCTGTACATTGAGATTGGCCATGTCCATAAAGCTGACACCGGAAGCACTGTGTCAGCTGACTCTTGGCATGCTGGGATTCCACTCTGACTCTTAGGCTTCCCAGCGATCTGACGTCAAATATGGCTTTTTCGGTTTTTGGTAGTAGCACCAAGACTACTGCTATCGGCTGGCCATTTTTCTTCCACCTTACTCTGGTTGTTGGGTGAAATCATAGGGCAATTAGCTCGTCCCTGATTTTGCCATCGCTCCATGACTCAATGACTCCTCTAATCACCACTCTAAGCTGTTTCTCCTCCTCCAGCTGGTAGGTGTGGTACTGGTATTTATAGGTATCCAGTACCCTAATAATTTGCCTGTAGTCCTTGGCCGTTTGGGGGGGTTGTTCTGACTCCCTCCTTGGTGGTCACTCCGCATCCGTAATTAATTTTCTTGGTCATCAATCTTTTCGTAATTTCGTCGTATTTGTCCTTCTCGCGAAGGACAATTGGATTCACTTTTGTCCTCCTTTCACTTTGCTGCTGGGCGGCAGGGGTGACCTGCTTCTTCCTCTGCTCGACATCAAGCTGCTGGGCGGCAGTTGTGGCCTGCGTTTTCTTAATGTTGTTGCTGCTATCATCCGGCTGGATAATCCTTGGCTGGGCTCCTCTGCGAGGGTCCCTCCTTGGTCCCGGATCCGTGAACCGAATTTGGGCCTTAGTATTGTCCTCGCTGGAGGACACAGGCCTGGCTCGCTTCCTTCTTCAACGGCGATATGAGCTTTGATAGCCCTCGCCGTCTGAGGAGTTCGTCACCGGCCCCCTGCCCTCCTTGGAGGCAATTGAGGGAGCTGCCGCCTCAGCGGGTCCTTCAATTGAATCACTATCGCTGGAGGAGGCTGCCTTCTCCTCCAATTTTTCTTCTTCTCCTGCACTTTGAAGTTCTTGGCGGCTAGCAGCGTTTCCGCTTTCACCGCCCGGTCTCTCCAAAATGCGACTTACATCATCGTCGTCTCGAGTTTCGCCTCGAGCGCCTCAAAGCGCTTCAACACCTCATCTGCGAGGACTGCTTTGGACTCCTCCATGTCCTGCAACACACACAGTACAAAAAAAACTTTAGAAATTTCAGCACTAGCTGTATAAATGTGCTGAAAAGCACACTAATAGCAGCGTAATACAGGAACTTTAGGCAAACCAAGAATGGTAAACCCTTGTAACAGCTTTCACTTTAATTTTCAACACTGTAGCTCTGCAGAGCGCGATGTGTAGCACGATGTTTATCGATCAAAGCATGAACTTTAAATGTTTTTTTTACTCCGTCCTTATCCCTGTGTATTCAATTCCAGAAGAGTCTTGAGAGCGTACACATGACCTGGTCTGGTAGAACTTCATCCCCTCCCAGGAGTCTTCGTCTTCGTCTACCTGTTGCATCTGACGTGCAGTGACATAATATGTGGACTAGTTTCGTCTTCTAATTCGCACCCCCTGCAGGTCGGTTGATCGTTCAGTCCCATCCTCAAAGGATGTTTTTTTCAGGGGGCGTGTCCTGTTTAAAAGGCAAATTGGCCTCTTTGTTTTTTGTCTGCTGAGATCTAGCTGTTCCTTTTTACGCACTGGTTGTGGAGGACCCACCAACTGCCTTGCGGTAAATTGATATGTACTGATTTTGGATCTATTCCACCATATTACGGCGGAATATGTGTTTCACAATTAGTCCAGCAGTCGATTAGGATAAGTTGATGATGAAATTATGATATTGTATCACTCAAACATGTTTGTTACCGCGCAAATGTAATCACAGGGATCTTTTCGTTTTTGTATATACGGATCTACTGCATACTCGCTGATAATTTATATTGTTCTTTTTACAAATATGCTTGCCATTTGCTAGATTTTACGAGAGGTGTACAATCATAGCAAGGGATTAACATAATGGCATTCATCGCATTAACATGAATAAGTGAAATAATCACTCAACACAAATAACATGAAGTTATACTGTTATGTGGTCCGTTAAATCAAGTTTCGTTTCTTTAAACGTTTTACACAAATCACAAAACTGGCTAATAGCCTTGGGCAACTCGCTACAATTTATTTACTTAAATTGAAATGGTTTAAAGGATCTAAACAACCATATTTGTTCTTTCAGTCCATGTCAAAAATATTGTTCTAGACTGAAGGCCTTCGGTGTATCTATATCAGATATTATGACCACAAGTTACAATTACTTGTCCCTCGATTCCAAGGAAAAAAAACTTCCTGTTTTATTCGCAAATATCCTTATACTGATTTGTTAACCTTTTTTTCAGTGCCTCCAGACATTCTCGATTATGCGACTAGCAGCGACATTGTAGTTAGAGAAGGAGCAAATGTTATCTTACAATGTGTGGCAAAAGGATTCCCCAAACCTGCAATCGCCTGGAAACGAGAGACGGGAGATTTAATTACATTAGCCGATGGAAATACAGGTAATTTTTTAATTTGTAAGTGCACTTTTTTTAGCCTGAAGTCGTTGGTCGATTGATTACACTTGCAATACTAAATTAGACCTAGTCAGAATAAAAATCAATTACTACGTTCGGTAGAGTGTCGTTGTATATTGCCGCTGTTTTGCGTCTTACTAGCCAAACGAGCCAAAATATTTAGTGCGTTAGAGATTTGTTTAAGTGATATTTGGAATTGTTACAAATGTGGCATGAATACTAGTTTCAAACTTTGTATTGTTCGTATTTGATTCTCCGTTAAAATACCACATACATGTTCTGTTTCAATTTTATTCAGCGTTTTTAAGCTACTTTAATAAGATGTCAAACCTCAGAGAAATAATGTATAGCATTACATGACTTGAAAAGGCGTCCGATCGATATTGCGCGAACGATCGGCATCGATAAAGGTACCATCAGCAGGTTTGACGAGCTCGGCTTTACTAGTCGCCGTCCAGGAAGTGACAGAAAGCACACCGTCAGAAGCGTTATGAACCGGGACCTCGTCTGTGAACGTGTCCGGCGAAATCCAAAGGTCTCCATAAGAAAAATTGCGCTTGAGACTGATCTTCAATCCCCATCAAGCCAAATCGTCAGAGCGGATCTCCATCTCAAGCCCTACAAGCTCCAAAACGTTCAGCTCCTCACTAACAACATGCGCGTGCGGCTTGAAAGATGCAAACGACACCTTCGCCGCCACGCTCCTCTTCAGTGGGGCAAAATCCTCTCCAGGGATCAAAAGCTGTTCACTGTTCAACACGCCCACAATCATAGTCGGTGGAGGGCCCTGGCACGTCGGCCATCGTCGAGCACAGCCAAAATCCCGTTATGCTTTGGGCTGGAATTTGCGTCAGGGGCAACAGAGAGTCGAAACCAACAAAGACGTCTACCACCGTGACATCCTTGAAAACGTCATGCTTCCGTGTGCCCAGTAGCACTTTGGCGATGCAGATTGGACTTTCCAACAGGACTCCGCTTGGCCCCACAAGGCGCAAGCGACTCAGGACTGGTGCCGGATTTAATCCCGTCGGTGGAATGGCCGCCCTACTCGCGAGATGTCAATCCGATAGAGTGGAAGAGATGCGTAGCGCGGCAGAAAAATGTCGGCAGTGTTTGGTCAGAGACAAGTACTTGTCTCTGGTTTGGTGCTTTGCCGAGACGCGCAAGGAGGCCACTTCGAAACCGGCTGAGTGTGTTGTAGTCTCAGATTGGACACATGCATCTGTTTACGTTTTTCGATGGGACCAACATTGGTTCACAGTCTATATAAAAGTAGATACTTACAAGAGCTTTGCCGGCTCGGTATTCAATTTGATATACAGGGTGATTCAAAATTGGCCTCATTCCTTTTAAGGGTATATAGGGGCCCACTTAGAGCCTTAAAGCACTTAGAGCATTTAAAATGCTGAAAATTTCAAGAAGATATTAACAGTTGAAGATCGAATTTCAATTTTGTTATTATTATTAGCCTATTAGAATACTTAAGCATTCAAAAATAAAAATTACGATATTTTTATCAAATTACAAAAAATGTTTGTATTAAAAAAGTACTCTTCTACAATTTTTTGATGAAGTCAAAGCGGCAAGGGTGTTTTTTGTCATCAACAGATAGTTACAGGTAGACACCCTTTGTCAATAATAACAACCATTTGTCAAACTGTGGCTTATTTTGAAGCTCCTTTCGCAAAATGTAGACCAAAATGCCACATTAACATAGCGGAAGCTGTAAGAACTTACACCAGCAGAGAGCTACACACTAGACGAGTGGCCCGAAATGGACGCAGATGGTGGACAATCTAAAGGTGCTCGGTTTCCAGACCTAGAGAAACAGGAATTGGGACAGGACAGGAGTACTTGAAGCATTGCACTACAACTGTACTTTTACAAACACCGGTTACTTAATTGTTAATTGTCCTGATAACTCACCCGAGGAAAGGCCTACATTCCTACCATGTATGTAATATGAACGGGACACTAGAACACATTAAATCTCTGATCTTCCGAGCACCGGCTCAAATTGAGCAGCAGTTAACCCGAGACCAGATGAGAAGCTACTCAAAATATGAGCCCTGACACAAAGATGTGATTGGGACACAAAGATGTTTGGAGTGAAACGGCCAGGATTTCTTGCTCTTGGGAGCAATTGTGTTTTAACAACAGAATTGCATTTTATTTGATCAATGATACATAACCTTTAACAGGTGGTTTTGGATGACAGTTGTGACCGATTTAGGTATATTACTCATTTGCCCTAAAAAGATGGCAGCACTCGGGAGGCTGTTTTGTCGCAGCACTGACCGCAAGCTGATACCGTTATCCTAACCTCAACGCATGTTAGTGCCTCTTTTGTTTTGTTTGCTGCATGTTTATTAATGGTTGCCGGAGTTTTTAATAATTACGAAGGAACAGGTATTTACGAAATGTTAATTAGGCAGATTACCTTGAATAACATTGCTGTCATCCTTCTGATCTAGTTTTTTGCAAATATCTGAGTTTTTAATAACATTGAATTTTTTACTATTTTTTCTGTACTCCTATAACAGCGCCAATTTTGAATCACCCTGTATATGGGTAGCAGCAACAAGAAAGTATATTTAGCGTCAGATTTGCTTAGTTTGTAACAAGCGACAAGCAAATGCCATTAAAATAACAGTGTAGAGATTTGATATTAAAAAATTCAGAAGAATTATAAGGTGGTTATTACCAGAAAACATAATGAGACATGCATCATGACAACATCGCAATGATGTTTTTCGCAATCTGTCTTTACTGAATTTTTCATGCGTCATGAACGACACATGTAGTCATTATACATATAATATTATCTGCAGCTTTTATTGTAGCTTTTTATTGTCAGACGCACAATGGAAACCTTTTATGGTTGCCCTATAACGCCACTTATCAGACTGCCGACTTTCCTGTGTTAATAAAAGTATAAAAACCCCTTTATGGTTCTGTACTTGAAATTATATGATTTAAAGGGGGATCTATTGAGCGGCTCAAAAACCATTCATATTTAATTACACATAAAATGACGAGATTTACTCTGCTTCTGTGAATAACTGATAGATACATTCGTTTCATAACTTTGCCCACATAAATAGATAACAGGGTGATTACGGACTAACTAGTTTATAACCTAGGTACGTAGGTAGTTTTTGTTGAAAATTTGTCACGCTTACCAGTTAAGAAAATTTTAATATTTCAATATTTATCTTTGCAAATTAGTTCTCAAAACTAATGATATAAAACTCGTATATGTATATCAATGTGTGCTCCGTTTAAAAAAGTTTGTTGCCACAACTGCACAATTTGTCCCAACTAGCATAACATGGCTTTAATCCTTGCTTATGCTTCCCATTTTGCATGCTGTATGATTCCAGCAATCAGCCGTTCAGATTAGGCCAATAATTTTTTTCCGAAACTATAACTTTTGCAGAAGAATCAATTTATTTATAGTAAACAATTGTCTAGTATGCGCTATCAATTAATCAATATAGTCTATTGAAATACAAGCATTCGAAACGAAAAATTACGATCTTTTTGTCAAAATACAAAACATTTTTATATTAAAAAAGTACTCTTCTATAATTTTTTGATGAAAAGTCAAAGTGGCAATGATGTTTTTTGTCATTAACAGATAGTTACCATTAGCTCAAATTATAAAAAGCATGAATTAACCTTTTCGGCTTTGCAAATTAATTTTTAAAATCAACTCAAATGTCTATTTTATTAGCAGGTTATTCAGCTCTTTAACAATTTAGAAGTCAAAAGGATTATTTATCATTTGCTTGAAAACTGTTTTTAACTTTCATAATAAATTAATTAGCTGTTTCATTAATTAACAGCTGGCTCTTGCAATCCCTGCTAAGGAGAGCAATATAATTAAATGAAGGCAGAAGTGCCACGAATTCTTTTTCAGACGGCAAAAGTTGTCCGAGAGGAAAACAGGATTAAACAATTAAAGCAGCCTTCTTGTAGGTAATTTATAATTTCATTAGTTTTATACAGTTTCTTTTTGAACTTTTTTACTTTCTCCTGAAGGTATCAAACGAAATAATTTGACAAAATTACATCTAGCTAAATTAAGTAATATTAAAAGATAATGAATATGAGCTAGACAATAACAAGAATTAACTGGACAAAACGTACTATAAGTATAGACATTTTAAAAATAAACTACGAAAGGAGAATAAAACTGCTAAGTTATATATAACGACAAACTTAGGTTTTTAAGTCATAACTTAGAAACATTTTAATTTGCCTTTTTTAAACAATAAGACTTACGGCAAAGTCAAAGAATCCAAATCTTTGACAATAAAGCAAAAACGAAATAATTAGGGCTACGGTTTCGCAGATAGATGGTCTTGGATTGGTAATAAATTTTTTTGAAAATTTGACATGATATACAGGGTGATTCAAAATTGGCGTCATTCCTCTGGGAGTGTTGTCTGACGGTGTTGTAGGGGTATATAAAAATAGTTTAAAAAATTAAATGTTATTGAAAACTGAAAAATTTGCAAAAAAAACTACAGGGTGATTCAAAATTTGCGTCATTCCTCTGGAGGTGTTGCCTGGCGCTGTTATAGGAGTACAAAAAAAATAGTAAAAGAATTTAATTGTTACTAAAAACTGAGAAATTTGCAAAAAACTATATCAGAAATACGACAGCAATGTTTTCAAGGTAATCTGCCTAATTAACATTGCGCAAATACCTGTTGCTTCGTAATTATTTAAAACTCCGGTAACCATGGAAATATACACACTGACCATAAGATAGACAAGGATAAACGGAAAATTCAACAAAATTTGTTGACGAAATGTCAACCTGTTCTCATAACCTCGAATTCTGCGGGGTTTTGTGTCAGAGACTTGTCTCTGTCTGTGATTACATAAATAATCCATACAACATCAAACATTTTAATGGTTTACTACAAACAAGCTAGTGCCTGTGTAATCTCCTTATTACCCACTCTCATCAAGCA